CTAATTTCTAAGCTGATTTTCTAAGGTTTTTGTAGGGAATTTTGGATTTTCTATGAATTTCTAGTGATTTTAAGATGATTTTTCGAAACCCATCCCCCCCCCCCCCCCCCCCCCCCCAACCTGTATTATTTTTACCGACATGGGTCTGTGACTCGCCATGGGTTGTGGAGAATGCCCCACATTACTCAAATCGAGTCCTAGGCTAGGGACCAAAATGGAAATTCTACCTACAATTATCAGAACTTTTAAACTGTATATTCAGATACAAACGATTATTGGACTATTGGAAAAGCTTGTGACTTTTTTTATAATTTGAAATCAAGTTTAGTCCATTTTGAGTGAGTTCTAAGGAGTATATAAGGTTAGGACTTTAAGGTATCGATTTTCAAGTTTTTGGGTATCATATAAGTGTTTCGATAATGTTTATTAGGTTCAACGGTGTCTAGGATGACTAGCTTGGGGTATTAGATAGGTTCAAGTCTGGGTTTTAGACCTGAGAATGTGATGGGTTTTAGACCTGAGTTCTAGGTTTTGGGGAATTCCCTTGGGCAAAATTATAAGGGTGTGTTTACAATTTTCTCTATCATATCCTAAATTATTTCTTTATTTAGAAAAGATAGGATATGTTTTTTTTTTAAAGAAATAGAAAAATAACCTACATTATGCCCTACGCTGCTCTATTTGAACATTGCATGCCTTAACTCCTCTCTAGAGATATGGTCCCTTGTTTTTTTAACAGATGACCATCCCTTAATTGTGGCTTGACAAATACCGGATTGATACTTATAAGTATTTATTATATAATATAGTAATTTTCTGGGCACACATAACGGGGTTGTTACCATTTACAAACCTTTTGGTTATATGCAAACATTGGTTGAAAACAAATATTGGTGGGATGGATCATCCATCACAAAGACCCGTTAGATCACCGGATTGCCGATCTAGATGGTCCAAGCCGACGACCTAGAATAATGTAAACTCAAAAATAAAAGCATGAACAAAAGGATTTATGCCAGGGAGGGGATTAGGAGGACCTAAAGAAATATTAAACAAATTAAAAAGAGGTAAAAATATGAAAGAGGCATTTTACAGGAGACTACTCTATTACAAATTAAACCAATTCACCCCCTCCTAATTCCCGATCAAATGGGCGATTCCGAATTTCCAAAGAGTGAAAGTCGGTTGGCAGAACACCAAACTCGGCATCAGTTTGTTGAGCAAAATATCTGGCGAGTCAAGCTGACCACAGCTCCACAAATCGCGGGTTCTATTGTTTCACCAGTGTGCCACGTGTATTCATGTCACCGAAAACTTTCAAATTTAACGAAATCTGGTATATTTGTCTTCGGCTCTGCTTTTTCATTTTTGGCGGATTCTAGAAAGTCTTCAACGGGACCTGTAAACCACTCCTTTGCCCTCAAAACAATTAATATTAGATATAAAACAATTATTAATCATTTCGTTTTATAATTTTAGTGAATAAGGGAAAAAGATTGATGATTGCTATGCCACCTTGTTGAATAAAATAATTAGGTAATAGCGATCCTATCTTTTTTTTGAACGTTGCGATCGAACTTTTTTCTCATGGAAAAAGCGTATACAAAGCCGAGGCTCTAAACAATCAAATTAGAGACATCGAAAATTTCACTATAAGAGGTTGTTTTGATGCCCAAATATCTTCAAATTGATCATCCCAGCATCATGATGCAAGGACATGAAAAAAAAATAGGTTTTAAGTTTTGGAAATAGTGTATCTGACTACACAGTTTTTTACGGTCAATTTTTGAGATTTTCAAGTATTTATAGATCTGTCCGATCTATACTAGTTTTTAAACTTTAAATTTTATAATTAAAAATGAAAATATTTTTTAATGTTATCACAAAGATTTACAATATTAAAACTACATTTCTCGATCCCATTTGAAGGTGTGCTTTACTTTGATTGTTTAGAGCTTTGACCTATACAAACCACACCCTTTTCTCAAATGGAAATTGTGTAAAATAGAAAAGAAACGAGAGTTTATAGGTGGATCGTTTTCATAACATAAACTTTGAAGATTATTAAATTATTTATTTTTATTACAAGAAGATCCCCATATGGCTATGAGAAGTCAACTAGATGTCAACTTGTATAGTTTGAGGTGCGATACAAATCCGTAAAACCTAAATATTATATGCTTTAAAGAAGATCTAAATATATACAGTATTTATAAAATATTAGAGACAAGCTATTGCTTTTAATATACGGAAATCACACGTAGTTAAATAGATTTTTTAAAATTGTTGATGGCAACACATTAAACTAGTGTTTTAGAACTCACAGTTGGATGGGTGATTCAAATTGATTTGAATAAGTAATTGAAAAATTTAAAAATAAAATATAAAAAAATTAATAGGTATTTATACGATGGTAATTTAGGGCAATTTGATAAAGGAAAATTGTTTCATGCGGACAGGGCTATATTTCTACATATACGGTCTAAAGGTATAAGCATTAATTTTAAAGGTGAATGCAAATAGGTGGTCCATCTACCTCTAAAAACAAATGAGATTAACTATCAAAAATTTTTTTAAAAAATTTATTATTTTTATTTATTTTTGTATATTCATGATATCCATATTAGAGATTCCTAACATGTCCATAAAAATTAAGTCCAAAATCCATATAAAAAATAGTAAGAGGCGCCTCATTTATACATGGACTCATAGAAACCAGGTCCCTTAACCAAACACTTGATAAGTTTAAAAAATAAAAAAAAATAAAATAAGAGGTTATAAGATAAAAATTGAGCAAAACTCCGTGCCAAACCGATTTCGTCTCAACCAAATCAACATCAGATCAAGATTGACAATCGTTAGATTTCCAAAAACTCCATTGAAGTCCTCCGCAGCGCCGAACTCCAAAATCGACGGTGAACAGCGCCGTCGGTAAGGGTTTTGGGAAGGGGTCCAATTGCAATAATTTGAGTTGGAAAGGGTTATAGAGTCTTTTTCCGTTACAAATAAAGAGAAGGCACGACGACACCTTTGGTTTTAATTCCGACAACCGAAGCCTCGGTGTATAGCCAGCTCTCTTCGATATTCTGATTGTTAAGCAGTCACGTTACGTCGTTATAAAGTTCACGCCATCTGTCAAACAGGCTAGGGCGGTCGCTGCGACTTTGCCGGCCTGTTGAACAAATAATTTACTTAAAAAATATATATAATTTTATTTTTTAAGTAATTGTATAGAAGTGTTTGGTGAGACGACCTCTCACACTGTTCTCATGCAGTCTCCTTACAAAATATATATGAAAGATATATTTTTGATCCAAATTTTAGAGTTAAATAATCTCAACCATGACAATGATTTAAATTTATAATTTTTTAAAAAGAAAAAGTTTATATAAAATTGCAACTTTAAAATATAGAACTACAGCTACACTTAAAAAATCAATCGGAAAAAGGTTGTTTTAATGTTGAAAAACCTTCTAATTGATCATCTCGACAACTAGATATATGAATATGAAAAAAATATTTTTATATTAAATCCCATAAATAATTTATCTTACAATACATTATCTAGACTGTTTGTTTTTAAGATTTTCATATGTTTATGGATTTACATGATTTTAACTATTTTTAAAGTTTAAAATTATAATTAGATATAATAATAGATTTTGAGATAATCCTAGAATCAATTTATACCAAAATTACATGTTATGATAAAATTCGGAGATTTAAAGTTGCAACCTTATAGAAACCATACCCTTTTTAACAATATAGATATTAGTTTTAAAATTCTTTTTTGCACCATCCATTTCAACTTTTAGTGGATTTGACATCCATCTTAGAGATGGATGTTAGATAGACAATGGATCACATGGCAATAGGTAAGTCGGTTGACTCACGTATCCATATAAAAAAATTAGATATAATTTAAAGTAGTGAGAAAATATATACTAATTTTTTGCTTTACTAAGGATGTAACTATTGATAGAGTAAAATGAAGAACCAAGATTCATGTATATGATCTCAAATAGTTGGAAAACTGCTCTAATGATGATAATGTTATGATATCATTTATTTACATTATAAAGAGATCACAATTGCGACTAACCATTAGATCTGAATTGGATGGTTTGGAGAAGTGTTTGATAAATCGGCCGAGTCAACTCGAACTCAGCTGAGTTACTTGGGCTCGGGCAGTGGATGAGCCTGAGTTGGAGGTCCAACTCAGGGATATTGAAGAACTCGAAAAATTTATAAGAAATCTATTTGAAATATGTTTTTTTATATTTTTTATTATTTTGACAAAGATTATGGATTATTTTAGCAAAGAGTACTTATTTTTACATTTTTCCATTTTTTTTGTGAAATTTTGTAAAATACTCCTAGTTACAAAGATTTTTTAAAATCTATTTGTTGGCTCCATGTTTTTTTTACCACAGGTGTGTTTTGTTTAA